TGGAAGCAGGGCGGGGCGACGGGCCACCTCCCTCCCACCCCTGCATTTCCCTGCGCCGCCCCCTTCCTGTGCCGTTGCTAAGTACTAGCACGTGGTCGGAAAGCTATTGTCCCCTGCCTCCTACCCTCATTGAAGACCCTGCCCTTTTCCCCCGGGGTGGCTGAGGCTCTGGCCGCGTTCTGGGTGGGTGAGTGAAGGAGAGGCTGTGGGCCTCCGGACTGGTGGATGTGGGGAGTGCAAGAGGGTCCCCTGTGGAAGACAGGCCCCGCAGGCGCTGGGGAAATGGTGCACAGGTTGACTGTCAGCTCAAGCCACCCCTAGCAGATGCAGGGCAGGTGTCCTGGGGCAGGTCTGGGGAGAGACTCCCGCCCAGGACTGAGGTGGGGCTGGCCAGGGCCCAGGACGCCGCAGGGCAGGTAGCCAGACTGCGTTCTGCCCTCCCCTACGCAAAGTCACCGCTCTGGGCTACAGCCAGTGGCAGCCATATCCAGTACGGGACTGCTCCGCACCAGCGTGTGGGTTCGCCTCTGCCCCAGCCAGTGGATCCGGGTGGGGCTGCAGGGACTTGGCCTCTGGCCAGAGGACTGCCCTCACGGGACACGGAGGTTGTAGGGACTTGCCTGCAGGGAGTGGCCAGGACTGTACCCAGGCAGGGCTGCTGGGGCTCAGCCTGGGTGCCAGGCCTGAGGTCTGAGTCAGGGTGGGGTTTCTAGGCTTGGCGTTGGGGGGTTGCTGGTGACTCAGCTGCAAGGCGGTCAGTAAAACTCGAAGGCCAGGGCTTCTTCCCCCTGGATCTGGCCGGCCCTCCCTGCCCCACTCCCTTGCCCACTGCCTGCTGCCTCCTGTCACTGCCCTGTGGTGCCCCTTAGGGCTCTGGTGTGCCCTGTTCTTGGCCGCCCCATCCCTGGGAGCGTTTTCCCGGTGCATGTCAGGCTAAGGGAGTTTCCCAGCGCCTGGGCGTCCCCTGGGGCCCCTCTCCTTGGGAAACAGGGCGGCCGGGGAGTTCCCAGGCCCCTTTGTCTATGTGGACAGCCTCCCCGTTCCCCCAGAACCCCAGGCTGAGCTGGATCCTCTCCCTCCAAGTTAGGGGCGCGGCTTCCTGGCCGTGCTGGGCGGGGCACCCGGCCAGGGGCCGGTTCTTCGGGCCTCGGCACGGTGCCGAGGCGGGAGCGGCGTGGCGCGGCTGGCGGCCTCCGCTGGGGCGGGGAAGCGGAGCCCCTCGCCGCCCCGCCGCGGTCCTGGTGGGCGGCTCCAGGGCGCCTGGGCGCATGGCTGCGGCCGGCACTTGCGGGGCGGAAGGCGCTTTTGCGTCGCCGAAGGAGGAGGTGCTGGACAGGCTGTGCTGGCTGGACGGGGGCTGCGAGCAGGCCCGCAGGGGCTACCTCCACGCGCAGCTGTGCTGTGTAGGTGTGTACCCCCGGGAGGGGCGCGGGCCTCCAGGCCGCAGCGTGGGATGCGAGGCGGAGCCAGCCTAGTGCAGCTGTGCCCCGCGCTCTGCTTCGGACACACCTGGGCGAAAGGCGGGGTGCTGTCCCTGGCCTCTTTATACCTTCTGGGGGTGGGGGATGGGACGGCGGGCGGGGCACCTGGGCTTGGGCTTTGGTTTCTGGGCACCGGCAGTTGGCAGTCAGGACGCCTGCGGGCTGAAGGAGGCAGGGGAGGTGCTGAGGGCAGCTTGCCACCTGGTGCTGCGCGGGGCTCTCCTTGGCCAGCAGGGTCCCCTCCTCAGTCTGCTGGCTTCCCATCTGGAATGTTTTCAGTAGTGTGGGACCTGCAGTCTTCCTTTCCACATCTGTGAAAGGGGCAGAGGAAGCACCTCAGGCCGTGGACAGCTGGGGGGGACACTGGGTGCTGTGCAGAAGCACCAGTGCTGCGGGGGGGGTGCGACCTGGTGGGGGTCCTGGGGAGCCCCGTCGGCATTCAGCAGTGCTGGAAAAGCCTGCAACGGCGGCCACAAGGCTGCGCCAGCCTGGAAGGGGCTGTTTGTGTGTTTGAGGGTCTAAACTGGATGGACAGGGGGCGGGCAGGCAGGCAGGCAGGCGGGGCTGGGAGGGAGGGAGGGGCCACGGGGGTGAGCTCTGTGACTCTGGGAGGAGCTCAGAGAAAGGAGACGCCCAGGCAGGAGGGCCTCCAGGTGGGGCTGGCGCTTGAGCCTGCCTAGTCAGGTGGAGGCCACGCCCCTGCCCCTGCCCCTGGGCAGCGGCCTTGGAGGCCTCTTGGGGGCCAAAGCCGGAGAAGGGGCCTGATCTGGGACTAGGATGGGTGCTCACGCAAACCCTGGGTGCCGGACCCTGGCTCCTGCAGGCTGCAGCCTCCCCTGGAGCCCCCTGTCTCCACCTCTTCATGTGTCTCCGGGGGGCCTAAGCTGTGCGTACACGTCACCAGAGTGACACCCCACTCCTGCAGGCGGGGACTCACCTTGTCACTGATGAACTAGCCCACAGCCTGCTGTAGCAGGTGCTCAGCACTAGTGGCTGGGGGAGTGGGGTGTTCCTGGGGAGGCCTTTCTACAAGCTTCCGGGGGTGTGTGGGGTGTGTGTGAGACATTCTCTGCTTGCCCAGTGCTGGAAGCGCTGATCAACGTGGCGTGAAATGTGGGATTTTGGGGGGCTACTGGAAAGTGAACTGCTGCCTGGGAGAGTCGTGGGGGCCACCAAGCTGGCCCAGCCTCCCCAGGCCCTCTTCAGGTTCTGCTCTCTTCAGGGGGGGGGGTGTGCATGGCAAGAGGTCTCTGCCTCTCCTGCCAGGCTCAGAGTCCAGGCTTGGAGCCTCAGGGGCATCTGCAGAGGTGGGGAGGGGCATAAGCCTTACGGCAGAGCCGGGGTCTGGCTGTGCCCCCTAGGTGTAGGGTGGCGGAGTGTGAGCAGCTCCCCCTGGCGTGGGCACCCTCGTGTGGCCGCTGAGGGCAGCTGGACTGGGTGGGGCCAGCTTTTCCCAGAAAGCTGTGAGGTGCGGGGGAGGGGCAGCGGCTCACAGCTGGATCACATCAAGCCAGAGGCCGACTGGAAAATTCTTGTGGTCGGGGCGTGCATTCTTAGCTGCGGTGGTGGTCGGAGGGGCCAGGGCAGTCCCAGTGTTGGCCATAGGCAGCTCTGTCCACCACCGAGGTCCCAGGCTGCGCCCCTGCGCCCTTTGCCCTGTCTTCCACCTTTACAACCCTGAATTGGCAGCCATCTGAGCCCTACCCGCTGCCAACAGCCCCCACCCATCCTGTCCTGCAGCCCCCAGGTAGGGCTTCCTTTCTGATGAGTCACCGTGCCCAGCCCCTTCCCCAGCCCTGACTCACTGGCTGGGCCCCCTTCATGTGCTTCCCACTGCCCCCACCCCCCCCCCCCCCCCAGCGTGGAGCAGAGATCTGCAGATCGGGCTGTCCTGCCCGGTGAGTCAGCGCTCAGCTATGTGCCGCTCCTGCCCTGCGGTGTATCTGCCCCCAGACTGGGCTCTGCTCCAGGATGTGCCTGGTGGGCAGCTCAGGAAGGGCCAGGTGGGCACAGGACCACGGTGGGCCTTAAGCAGTGGCATGGTGGAGCCTAGCAGGGGTGGGGGCTGTCGGTGTGGGGTGCCGTCATGAAGCCTGATTTACAGGGCTGCAGGAGGATGGCCACTGACTGCCCCCCACCAGATGTTGCTAAGCTTGGTTGTGAGGAGGGGGTTCCCTCCTGGAGTCCCTTCCACCTCTAGCTGGGCGAAATGCTGGGATAGGAAGGGGGGTGGCCGGGTCTGAAGCCTGATCTTGGTTTTCTGAAGAAGGGCACAGCCGCTGGGCCCCGGGGCTGGCCACACTCGGGCACCCTCCTTGTGGTGGGGTGGCTGTGGGGATGGCGTTTGGTCTTGGACCTTTATACCAGTGAGTGTGCGTCCAGGTGCCAGGTCCTCCAGGGCGGGGGCGCGCGTGTGTGTGCGCGCGCGCGCACCCCTGGGCTTCCTGTTTCTGTCGGCGGAGGGTGCGGCCGTGGGGGAGGGGCTGCCTTCCTCCTTCCCTCCGCGGGTGGGCAGGGCCGGGTGGGGCCCCCGGGGCGGGGACAGCCTGCTAGGAGTGGAGCCGGCCGGGTGTGGCCACACCGAGTCCCGCTGCGGGGTGAGACGGTGATCTGTGTGGGGCCAGCCTGACGCCTGGGTGCCACGCGGGGTGCGGGAGCTGAGCACCTGGGGGCCAGGGGCAGCGTGCTGCGGGGCCGGCCGCACCATGGCGCAGCACCGGCCCCACGCGCCCGAGGGCCTGGGCAGCAAGAGAACCAGCTCGGAGGACAACCTCTACCTGGCTGTGCTTAGAGCCTCTGAGGGCAAGAAAGGTGGCATCCCCTTCCCCCCGGGCAGGACCGGCTGGCCCAGCTGGAAGGGCCCACTCCCTGGGGCAGGGTCCTGGCACCGGGCGGGGTGGGGCCGGACCCTGAGGCTCTGAGCCGGGCGGGGGCCCCGGGCAGGGGTCACGTCCTGGTCCAGGTGCAGAGCTGCTGGCCCGGAGCCATACGTGCCCCGCACAGAGGGCCGACCTGCTTGGTGAGGCAGCAGTGGCCTCGGGGCCTTGGGTGGGACTGCATCTCAGAAGGTGCCTGCCCTGATGGGAGGACACTGAGGGGACCTTCCTCCTTCCCACACCCCTGACCAGTCCCAGGACCTGGCCTGGAGTCCCCACTCAGGTCCCAGCCTCCTGGCCCCCTACACAGCGAGTATGGGGGTGGGGCAGGCTGGGACTTGTGTGTGTGCGCTGTTGGCCTCTGGGTGTGGCTTCCAGGCCTGGACCTCCCACCCCTGGAGGGAGACGGTAGGGGGATTGAGCAGCGGGCACCTGCTGTGTACAGCCCCTTCCCCTGACTGTGCTGCCTGGACGGGGCTGGGCAGGGCCCGGGCACCTTAGTCTCCCTGGCCTGCTTGTGCAGAGCTTCAGTGTGTGGTTCTGAGACCCTCTTCAGGCACCGGCCACTGTCCGCGTGCTGGCCACCTCCTGAGGGCTCCTGGACGACTCCCAGGCCCCAGGTGACTGGCCTTGTCTCTCCCAGATGAGCGGGACCGTGTGCAGAAGAAAACCTTCACCAAGTGGGTCAACAAACATCTTATCAAGGTTGGTGTCCCACATGTGATGCCAGGTTGCAGGGTGGAGGAGACGGTGGGTAGGGATGAAGGAGGGAGGCTGCCTTCCAGTCAGAACAGACCACCCTGCTCACCCACGGTGACCCTGCTGGCCTGGGAAGCTCACCTTTTTACCTCTGAGCCTGTGATTTTCTGTTCTTTTTCTCCCCACGCTGCTCCTGTCTCTTTGCCCTCCCCCCTCCCCCCCCCCGCCTCCTGGCCACTCCTTACAGCACTGGAGGGCAGAGGTAGGTGCCTCCGTGGGGGTGGGGTGTGTTCTGTGTGCCTCCTGCTGCTTGCCCTGTGGGGCCGAAGCCTGTCCCCACCCCAGGGCTTGGTGGTGGTCCGGAGACCAGTGGCCAGCCCCGCCTCTCTGTCCCCACAGGCCCAGAGGCACATCAGCGATCTGTATGAAGATCTCCGGGATGGCCACAATCTCATCTCCTTGCTGGAGGTGCTCTCAGGGGACAGCCTGGTACGCACACCTGCCCACCACCCCCTTCGCGGCCCCGCCTGCCTGCCACCTGGACACCCCCACCTGCCTTCTCTCCTTGGGGCCTTTCCCACATGCCCACTGCATCTAGCCTGGCCTCGTCCCCTACTGCACCTCTTGGTCAGGAGCATCGGCCTGGCCCTGGCCCTGGCCCCTATGCCTCGGGCACACAGCCCTGCTGCCTCCTGTGCTGGAGTCCTGACCGTAACCTCACGCTCTGCTCTGCTTTGGTTTCTCTGCTGCTTGGACTCTGAACCCTGACCTCTGCCCTTTACCCCTTGCCCTGCTCTGGCTGGGCAGCCAAGAGAGCGGGACGTAATCAGGAGCTCGCGCCTGGTGAGTGGTTGTGCCTGCTGGCTACGGCAGCACGTGGCTCACCTGGGGCTGGTGGCCAGTGTGGCCCCCCACCTGTGCCTGTCACTTGGCAGGCAGATGGCTGTGCATCGAGCTGCCCGATGTCGGGCCTGCTGCACTGCTGGGCTGGGCTGCCATCGCCAGGCCGGAGGACCCCCTCCCCCAGGGCCACTGACCTCCACCCGTGGCTTCCTGGCTATTGTCTCCTCCCTCCCCTTCCTTCCTTCTTGCAGTCTGGGCCTGGCTGCTGGACTTCCCAAGCCCCTGCTGGGCAGGAGTCCCCCTTTCCCAGCTGGGAGGGTAAACTGGGGACATGGGAGGGGCTGCTGCCCCACTGGGGAAGACCCTCAGCTGGGGCACCACGGATGCTGTGGGCTTCTGAGGGTGGGCTGGGATCTGCAGCCCCAGGCCAGCAGTGCCTTTGTGGAAGATGACCGGCCTTGCCCGCCCCCACAGCCCCGGGAGAAGGGGAGGATGCGCTTCCACAAGCTGCAGAACGTGCAGATCGCCCTGGACTATCTCCGGCACCGCCAGGTGAGGCTGCCGGCTGCCCTCCCCCTTACCCCCCACCTCCCATTGCCCAACCCTCCCCTCTCACTGCTCCTGCCCTCCCCCACCATTGCCCCTGCCCTGCCCCCTCCCTGTCTGGCCTGTGGGTGTGGCTGAGGGCAGCTTGCTCACAGGTGAAGCTGGTGAACATTCGGAATGATGACATTGCCGATGGCAACCCCAAGCTGACCCTTGGCCTGATCTGGACCATCATCCTGCACTTCCAGGTAGAGCAGGAGTCCCCGGGGCTGGCCTGGTGCCTGGCTGGGTGTCGGCCTGGCGCCGGGGCCCTTGGCTCCTTGGCACCCTGGCACCTCAGAGCCTCCTTGCCTGCCCACACCCGGCCCTGGCTGGCTCCATGGCCTGGGGGCCAGGCCTCTCGCCAAGGCCTGCCTGCCCTGAACAGCCCCCAAGGAGTGCATTCTCTGCTGTGGTGCAGCCCTGGAGAAGCACCTCTGCAGCGGCTGACTCACCACAGGAAGCTGCCCATCTGGGAGCTGGGCAGGCAGAGCCTGGCTGGCAGAGCAGCTGAGTCACACGGGCTGCCAGGCCGACAGACAGATAGCTAGGGACAGGCTGGCATGTACAGAAAGCCAGACTGGCCAGCAGACCCCTGCCTGAAAGTTGGACTACGTACAGGGCCAGGCCAGTGCCATGGCCCCGGTGTGCCCAGGCCCAGCTGTCAGAGACCCTCCCCAGACCAGAGAGGCTCACCTGTTCCCCACCCCACCATGACACAGCACACCCTTTTCCAGGCCTGGGGTTTCTGGGGAGCTCTGATACCTGCAGCTGCTCTCTTAGGGCCCATCTTCACCAGCTCAGGGGGCAGGGTACGCCTTAGGCCCCTGCCAGACGGAGGGAGCAGTGGGCTGGGGCTGTGACCGACTCTGGCTTCACTGGCTGGAGTGGCCTGGGCTTGTGGTGCTGCTGTGTGCTGGGTCCCAGCAGCTCCCCCAAGGTGGAGGGGGGCCTAGGGCTCCCTCGGGGCTGCTGTGTACCCCAGCTGGGTGCCAAGTTGCCCTGCCCGCTGCGTGGGGCAGATCTCGGACATCCAGGTGAGTGGGCAGTCAGAGGACATGACAGCCAAGGAGAAGCTGCTGCTGTGGTCGCAGCGCATGGTGGAAGGTTACCAGGGCCTGCGCTGTGACAACTTCACCTCCAGCTGGCGTGATGGCCGCCTCTTCAATGCCATCATTCACCGGCACAGGTAGGAACCCTGCAGGGCAGAGGGCACCTCTGCTGGGCAATTCCAAACAAGCCAGGGCAGGGAGGATTGCGGGAGGGGTTTCTGCCACATTGGGAACTGCTGCCCTCGGGGATGAGTTGGGGCCGGCCTGCCCGCCCTGACAACGTCCTGGGCCTTCCAGAGATACCATGGCTTCCCCAAGGCCAAGGGGTCAGTGTGCTGCTGGTCCTTACAGCAGTATCTCCCCCCATGCAGATGCCCCAGGAAGGGCCTGGGTGCCGAGGCCAAGGGGTGGAGCCCCTTGGGGTCCTCAGCCTCCACCCAGGGCCTGGGGGCAAGGTGGCTGCAGGGAGCCTGGGCATCACACCCTGGGCATGTGCCCACTATAGGCCCCGAGGGCTCTTGGGGGTGGGTGCCTCAGTGCGCAGTGTCCACATATGGGGTACCTTTGTGGGCAGGATTGGGGGTAGGGGTGTGTGTGGGCTTTTCAGGGGAGGTGGGGGCTTGGGTTCTGTGGCAGGGTCTGCCTGTTGCATCCCTTTCTGGGTGCTGACCTGCCTGTGTCCCTGCCTGTCTGCCCTACTTGTTCCTTTGCCCGCAGGCCTGTGCTCATTGACATGAGCAAAGTGTATCGTCAGACCAACCTGGAGAACCTGGACCAGGCCTTCTCCGTGGCAGAGCGGGACCTGGGAGTGACCCGGCTGCTGGACCCCGAGGGTGCGTGCCAGCCCCTGCCCTTACCCTCCTGAGCAGCCTGCGGCTCCCTGACCATCCTCCTCTTCCCACAGATGTGGACGTCCCCCAGCCCGACGAGAAGTCCATCATCACGTATGTCTCGTCACTGTACGACGCCATGCCCCGTGTGCCAGACGCGCAGGACGGGGTAAAGGCCAGTGTGAGTGGCAGCCTACAGGCCCAGGGTGGGACGGTGCCCAGACACCCCTGGGCACCCCCTGATGTTGTGCTGGTCCCCAGGAGCTACAGCTGCGCTGGCAGGAGTACCGGGAGCTGGCCCTGCTCCTGCTGCAGTGGGTCAGGCACCACACTGCTGCCTTCGAGGAGCGCAAGGTCCCCACCAGCTTTGAGGAGATTGAGGTGGGCTGTCCGCCCAGCTGGGATCACATGCCCTCCACAGGGCCCAGGCTGGTGCTGACATCCCTTGTCCCCACAGATCCTGTGGTGCCAGTTCTTGAAGTTTAAGGAGACAGAGCTTCCAGCCAAGGAGGCAGACAAAACCCGGTCCAAGGGCATCTACCAGTCCCTGGAGGTGAGCTGAGGTGCCGGAGGGAGGTGAGTGAGGCAGTCCAAGGGCCTGGGGGTCCCCCCCACTGAGCATGGCCTGTCCTTACCACCGAGCTCTGGGGACCAGGGCTGGTCTGGGTCAGGTGGGCTGGGGGCCTTGGTGGCTTTGTGTCTCCTGCTGGTCCAGGCCTGAGTGGGCCCCTACCCACAGGGGGCGGTGCAAGCAGGTCAGCTCAAGGTGCCCCCTGGCTACCACCCACTGGATGTGGAGAAAGAGTGGGGCCGGCTGCACGTGGCCATCCTGGAGCGGGAGAAGCAGCTCCGGGGCGAATATGAGAGGTGGGTGGGCACTGGGCGGGGCTGTGGTCAGCGGAGGGTGGGTGGGGGTGGGGAGGGCCCTGTGGCGGCAGAGAAGTCGCCCGAGGGTGAGTCACTGCCTGGGGAGGAAATCCTCCCCAGGGCTGGGAAACCCACACTTGGGCCAGTGTGACTGGGCTGCAGAGGGCTGGGGAGGCAGGGGGGTGGGCAGGAAGGCGGTGCTGTGTGGCATCCTGGGGCCTGGTGGGCTGACCCCTCTGGACTGCCCCTGACTGCTTTGGGCCACAGGCTAGAGTGTCTTCAGCGCATTGTGAGCAAGCTGCAGATGGAGGCTGGGCTGTGCGAGGAGCAGCTGAACCAGGCCGACGCCCTGCTCCAGTCGGTGAGGGGGCGGCGGGTGGGGCTGGGCCAGGCAGGAGGAGCCCCAGACCCGCCACGCCCTGTGGCCAGCAGGCCAGTGGGCGGGGAGCTGGCACCACTAGCCCCTCCTTCCTGGTGCACAGCCAGCTGACTGCTAGCTTTGGGTTAAGCTGGCTTCTGGGTCCCAGGCAGGGCACAGAAGAGGCTGCCCTACCCTGTCCTAGGTCAGCAGGGGGTGGTAGTGAGGACCCGAAACTCATGCCGGGGTCTCGGCAGGAGGGAGGGGTTTGCAGACGTGCATGACAGAAGACAGGGTCATGAAAGGTCAGGCTCCTTGGACCTAGCAGAGGCCTTTGGGCTCAATCCCCGTTCCCCGGGAGAGCCTGGTGTCATGGAGACCGTCTTACAGGACATTCGGCTGCTGGCTACAGGCAAGGCACCCCAGCGGGCAGCGGAGGTGGAGCGTGACCTAGACAAGGCGGATGGCATGATCAGGCTGCTGTTCAATGATGTGCAGACCCTCAAGGATGGGCGGCACCCTCAGGGCGAGCAGATGTACCGAAGGTAGGCTACACACCTCCCGGGGCCTTGGTGTGCGGTCTGGTCCGGCCGGCTCACCCTCGTGCTCTGCGCTGTTCTCAGGGTGTACCGCCTGCATGAGCGCCTGGTGGCCATCCGCACTGAGCACAACCTCCGACTGAAAGCGGGTATAGCTGCCCCCATGACTCAGGTGACACTACAGAGCTCGCAGAGGCGCCCTGAGCTCGAGGACTCCACGCTGCGCTACCTGCAGGACCTGCTGGCCTGGGTGGAGGAGAACCAGCGCCGGGTGGACAGTGCCGAGTGGGGTGTGGACCTGCCCAGCGTGGAGGCGCAGCTAGGCAGCCACCGTGGCCTGCACCAGTCCATTGAGGAGTTCCGGGCCAAGGTCGAGCGGGCGCGCACTGACGAGGTGAGTGGGTGCCTGCAGGGTGGCCAGAGTGGTGGCATAGTCCTGGTCACTGCAGGCCTCACCCCTCCTCGTGTCCTGCAGGGCCAGCTCTCCCCAGCTCCACGGGGTGCCTACCGAGACTGCCTGGGTCGACTGGACCTGCAGTATGCCAAGCTGCTGGTGAGTAGGGGGTCGGGTGGCAGACAGACAGGTGGGTAGGTGGGCAGTAGGTGGGCCTCACACACACCTGCTTGCCACAGAACTCTTCCAAGGCCCGTCTCCGGTCCCTGGAGAGCCTGCACAACTTTGTGGCAGCCGCCACGAAGGAGCTGATGTGGCTGAGCGAGAAGGAGGAGGAGGAGGTGGGCTTTGACTGGGGTGAACACAATGCCAACATGGCTGCCAAGAAGGAGAGCTACTCGGTGAGGCCGCCTTCCGGAGCCTTCCATGACCCCTTCTTGGGACGGAGCCTGCCAGGGACCTTGGGCGGTGCTTGATGTCGGACGGGCAGACCCTAGTGTGTCCCTGATTCCGTCCCTGAGACCTGCTGCCTCTGTGCCAGGCCCTGATGCGGGAGCTGGAACTGAAAGAAAAGAAAATTAAGGAGGTCCAGAACACCGGTGACCGACTTCTGCGGGAGGACCACCCTGCCCGGCCCACAGTGGAGGTGGGGCCCTGGTGGGTGGGTGGGCTGCGGACCCCCTGGGCCGGGGCAGACCCTGACCGGGTGGCTATGCACAGTCCTTCCAGGCCGCCCTTCAGACCCAGTGGAGCTGGACGCTCCAGCTGTGCTGCTGCATCGAGGCGCACCTGAAGGAGAACACTGCCTACTTCCAGGTGGGCGCTGGCCCAGCCCCAGACCCTTTGGCTGGTGCCCCATCGGCTGGCATCAGCCTTGGCAGCCTGGGCCAGACAGCCTGGGGTGACTGCTCCCCCGTTGCCCCAGTTTTTCACAGACGTGCGGGAGACTGAGGAGCAGATGCGGAAGCTGCAGGGGACACTGCACAGGAAGTACACATGTGACCGCTCTGTCACCGTCACGCGCCTTGAGGACCTGCTGCAGGACGCCCAGGTGAGCAGCCGCGCAGGCCATGGGCCCAGTGCGCTGCTGCTGGTGCCAGGGGGATGCTGAGGCCTGGCACTCCTGGCCTGCAGGATTGCGGGGCAGACCTGGGTGCTGGGCTTGGGCTTGGTGGAGCTCAGGGAGGGGCTGAGCCAGTGTCTGGGCTGTGTGGGAGCTTTGGAGGTGGGGAGCCACCAGAAGGTGGCTGTGGGGGGCCCAGTAGGGGTGGAGGTCGTGTAGTGGACAGGGTGGGAGGAGCTGAGCGGCAAGGGGCAGGGCCTTGGAGCTTGGCAGGTAGGGGCCCCGAGCTGATATGGGCTCCCCCTCTCCCGGAGCCCCTGAGCTCGCAGAGGCCTGCGTTGGCTGCTGTGTCCCCAGCCCTTTGTGGATGGGTCTGTTGGCCGCTCTGGCCTGAAGGCTGAAGGGGCAGAGAGGCAGTGGGGTGTGGTGCCTGTGTGCCACGTGCAGGGGTGGAAGCACCCAGGAGGGCCCCAGGGCCTTTTGGGAGGACTTGGTGGGAGTGGTACAGGAAAGAAGGCTGGAAGGCTCTGCCTGCTGGCAGCTCCCGTGGTCAGCAGTTGGGACCCCTGAAGACCGGGGGGCCTAGGAGCTCTGCTGGCTGTAGCATTGGCCTGGAGAGGGAGGGCGAGGTGCAGGAAGCGTCAGGACGGACTCTGGTCATCTGCCTTGGATAGGCCCTGGTGGGGTTTGGTCCATTGGAGGCCCTGGAGGGAAGGAGGTTGGAGGGGAAGGTAGAATGTAGAGCTGTACCCAGAATGTAGAGTTTCCCCTGGCGGACGCACTGTGCCCTGGGGCAAGGGGAGGGGGGAGGCATTTGGCCCTGACCGGGGAGGAAGGATGGAGGGTCACTGGGATCTCTTTCCGAGTGTCTGGCCCCACTGCGCCCTGTGACAGCAGGAAGGCCCCCTGGTCTCTGGATGGGGTTGGGCGTCGTGCGCCCTTACTCACTGCTCAGAGCAGGCCTGCGGGTCTCCACGGAGCCTCGTGCTGGCCTGTGGTGGCTGGATGCTGGATAGGGTCTCTGTGCTATTCCCCCCCTGCAGGACGAGAAGGACCAGCTTACCGAGTACAGGGGACATCTCTCAGGTCTGGCCAAGCGGGCCAGGGCCATTGTGCAGCTGAAGCCCCGGAGCCCAGCTCACCCCGTGCGGGGCCACATGCCCCTCCTGGCTGTGTGCGACTACAAGCAGGCAGAGGTGCAGTGGGGGAGGGGAGTATGGCTGCTCCCAGGAGGAGCAGTGGGTGTGGACGTGTGTGTGGCCATGCACGATGATAACTCTGGCTTCTGCAGGTGACCGTGCACAAGGGTGACGAGTGGCAGCTGGTGGGTCCTGCGCAGCCATCCCACTGGAAGGTGCTCAGCAGCTCTGGCAGTGAGGCCACCGTGCCCTCCGTGTGCTTCCTCGTGCCCCCGCCGAATCAGGAGGCCCAGGAGGCTGTCGTCAGGTGAGTGGCAGAGTGTCTGGCATCCAGAGTGGGTGGCAGTGGGCGGGCACCCAGACTCCTCTGACCATCCTGACCTGCCAGGTTGGAGGCCCAGCACCAGGACCTGGTTGCACTGTGGCACCAGCTGCATGTGGACATGAAGAGCCTTCTGGCATGGCAGAGCCTCAGCCGAGATGTGCAGCTCATCCGCTCCTGGTCCTTGGTCACGGTATGGCCTCCCAGGGTAGATCTCCGGGTGGGGACAGGAGGTGGCTTCCTGCAGGCCCAGGCCACCCATGCTTAGCCCTGTGTGCTACCCACAGTTCCGAACGCTGAAGCCAGAGGAGCAGCGCCAAGCCCTGCGCTGCCTGGAGCTACACTACCGGGCCTTCCTGCAGGACAGCCAGGATGCTGGTGGCTTTGGACCCGAGGACCGGCTGCAGGCTGAGCGGGAGTACAGCTCCTGCAGCCGCCATTACCAACAGCTGCTGCAGAGCGCAGAGCAGGGTAGGTGGCTGGGTGGGGGCAGGGCAGGCCCAGTGGGCAGGGCAGGCCTGCGGGCAGCCAAGTGAGTGAGCATGTCCCCAGGTGAGCAGGAGGCGTCACGGTGTCAGCGCTGCATCTCGGAGCTCAGAGACATCCGGCTGCAGCTGGAGGCCTGTGAATCGCGCACCGTGCACCGCCTGCGGCTGCCACTGGACAAGGAGCCTGCACGGGAGTGTGCCCAGCGCATCGCCGAGCAGCAGGCAGGCCCTCTCCCATCCCTCCCCGGCCATGGCTCAGGGGCGCCCTGCTGGCCTCTTGGTCAGCTTGCCGCCTCTGTCTCCTCAGAAAGCGCAGGCCGAGGTAGAAGGTCTGGGCAAAGGGGTTGCCCGGCTCTCTGCCGAGGCCGAGAAGGTCCTGGCCCTGCCTGAGCCCTCACCTGCTGCTCCCACACTGCGCTCAGAGCTGGAACTGACCCTGGGCAAACTGGAGCAGGTCCGCAGCCTGTCCGCCATCTACCTGGAGAAGTGAGCACATTGTCGGTGGCCGGGGCTGTGGTCGCAGGAGGGCCTTGCACAGAGGGAGCGTGACTGCCACATACTGGCAGACAATAGGCTGGTGGGCAGGACGGGGCCAGTGGGCAAGACGGGACCAGTGAGGTGGGCCATGTTTTGAGGTGTGGCTGGGAGATAGCATGCACCAGAATGGGGAGCGGGGAGCGTGGAGGTGGTGAGGGGTCTGCAGTGCCGACGTGCCTGAAGGTGGGAGCTCCTGACGACCGGATTTGGGGGTGGGGGCAGGGGGCTGGGCACAGCTCACCGAGGTGGGGATTCGTGGGAGTCGGGACTTGCAAGTGTCCCACCTGCGGAATGTCAGTGGTGTGGGGAAGGGGGGGACAGAGGAGACTCTCTCCTGTTGCAGAGGTCAGGAGGGGGTGTGGCCTGTGAGGTCCAGATGAGTGGGCTCAGTGGCCTCAAGGGGAGGGGCTTCTTGGCAGGGGGCTGGGTGAGGGCCTGCAGGGGCAGCCTGCGTAGGGCAGTGGGTGAGACCTGCAGGGGGTGCATGACAGGCCCAATGCTGAGGTCTTCTCAGGTTTCCAGCATCCCACCCTGCTCCACCTGGTCTTCTAACCTCTGCCCTGTCCCTTCTCCCTCTGCCCCTGGGGAAATGCAGTGTCCTCCCCAGAAACGCCTTCCTGTCCCCCTCTCCAGCCCCAGGGTGGTCTTCTGCCCTCTGCCATTTATTTCAGCGTACACTCACATGGTTCAGAGCTTCACCTTGAGAAGCACAGTGAGAAAGCCTCCATCGCCCTTTACCCAGGCCCACGCCAATCTACTTCCCAAGGGCCTGGTGGTGTTCCCCATTTGTCTTTGTTTCTGATCTGTTCCACAGCCGCCTGTGATGTTGCAAACACGTCCTCCTCTCACCTGCCCTTTCACAAATGCTGGCACCCTCCATGCGAGGCGGGTCACTCTCCTGACCCACAGTGTCCCCCTTATCCAGACTTGGGGCTGGAAGACCTATCTCTTCCCAGGCCCCAGGGCTGCTAACTGAGGAATTCTCGGTCTCGGGCCTCGGAGCTTCCCGTTTCCCTGGCAGCACAGCCTCCTCCTAGGACTAGGCGAGAGCTGAAGCATCCTGGTGTTCCAGAGGCCCCCATCCACCCTCCCCAGGGCCTCCGTTCTCCCCGAAGCCCGTTGCTCTTCCAAGCCTGCCCCTGTCCCTGGATCAGCCCTGCTTCCCCAACCCCCAGGCTCAAGACCATCAGTCTGGTGATCCGCAGCACGCAGGGTGCTGAGGAGGTGCTCAAGGCCCACGAGGAGCAGCTCAAGGAGGCCCAGGCCGTGCCCGCCACACTCCCAGAGCTGGAGGCCACCAAGGCCGCGCTGAAGGTGCCAGCAGCACTGGGCTGGTGCCTGACTGTGAGGGTTAGGGTGTGGGTGTTGGGGCCAACAGCAGAGGCTTTGGGCCAAAACAACACCCACCCTCTTCAACAGAAGCTGCGGGCCCAGGCAGAGGCCCAGCAGCCCGTGTTCGACTCTCTGCGGGACGAGCTGCGTGGAGCGCAGGAGGTGGGTGAGCGGCTGCAGCAGCAACACAGCGAGCGGGACGTGGAGGTGGAGCGCTGGCGCGAACGGGTCGCCCAGCTGCTGGAGCGCTGGCAGGCTGTGCTGGCCCAGGTGGATGTGCGGCAGCGTGAGCTCGAGCAGCTGGGCCGCCAGCTGCGCTACTATCGTGAGAGTGCGGACCCGCTGGGCGCCTGGCTGCAGGATGCTAGGCGGCGGCAGGAGCAGATCCAGGCAGTGCCACTGGCCAACAGCCGGGCTGTGCGCGAGCAGCTGCGGCAGGAGAAGGTGTGCGGATGGGCGTGCGGGCGGGTGTGTGTAGGTGCAGGCAGTGGGCGTGGCCTGCAGCCGCTGACCGCCTTGCAAGATAGCATGCACCAGAATGGGGAGCGGGGAGCGTGGAGGTGGTGAGGGGTCTGCAGTGCCGACGTGCCTGAAGGTGGGAGCTCCTGACGACCGGATTTGGGGGTGGGGGCAGGGGGCTGGGCACAGCTCACCGAGGTGGGGATTTGTGGGAGTCGGGACTTGCAAGTGTCCCACCTGCGGAATGTCAGTGGTGTGGGGAAGGGGGGGACAGAGGAGACTCTCTCCTGTTGCAGAGGTCAGGAGGGGGTGTGGCCTGTGAGGTCCAGATGAGTGGGCTCAGTGGCCTCAAGGGGAGGGGCTTCTTGGCAGGGGGCTGGGTGAGGGCCTGCAGGGGCAGCCTGCGTAGGGCAGTGGGTGAGACCTGCAGGGGGTGCATGACAGGCCCAATGCTGAGGTCTTCTCAGGTTTCCAGCATCCCACCCTGCTCCACCTGGTCTTCTAACCTCTGCCCTGTCCCTTCTCCCTCTGCCCCTGGGGAAATGCAGTGTCCTCCCCAGAAACGCCTTCCTGTCCCCCTCTCCAGCCCCAGGGTGGTCTTCTGCCCTCTGCCATTTATTTCAGCGTACACTCACATGGTTCAGAGCTTCACCTTGAGAAGCACAGTGAGAAAGCCTCCATCGCCCTTTACCCAGGCCCACGCCAATCTACTTCCCAAGGGCCTGGTGGTGTTCCCCATTTGTCTTTGTTTCTGATCTGTTCCACAGCCGCCTGTGATGTTGCAAACACGTCCTCCTCTCACCTGCCCTTTCACAAATGCTGGCACCCTCCATGCGAGGCGGGTCACTCTCCTGACCCACAGTGTCCCCCTTATCCAGACTTGGGGCTGGAAGACCTATCTCTTCCCAGGCCCCAGGGCTGCTAACTGAGGAATTCTCGGTCTCGGGCCTCGGAGCTTCCCGTTTCCCTGGCAGCACAGCCTCCTCCTAGGACTAGGCGAGAGCTGAAGCATCCTGGTGTTCCAGAGGCCCCCATCCACCCTCCCCAGGGCCTCCGTTCTCCCCGAAGCCCGTTGCTCTTCCAAGCCTGCCCCTGTCCCTGGATCAGCCCTGCTTCCCCAACCCCCAGGCTCAAGACCATCAGTCTGGTGATCCGCAGCACGCAGGGTGCTGAGGAGGTGCTCAAGGCCCACGAGGAGCAGCTCAAGGAGGCCCAGGCCGTGCCCGCCACACTCCCAGAGCTGGAGGCCACCAAGGCCGCGCTGAAGGTGCCAGCAGCACTGGGCTGGTGCCTGACTGTGAGGGTTAGGGTGTGGGTGTTGGGGCCAACAGCAGAGGCTTTGGGCCAAAACAACACCCACCCTCTTCAACAGAAGCTGCGGGCCCAGGCAGAGGCCCAGCAGCCCGTGTTCGACTCTCTGCGGGACGAGCTGCGTGGAGCGCAGGAGGTGGGTGAGCGGCTGCAGCAGCAACACAGCGAGCGGGACGTGGAGGTGGAGCGCTGGCGCGAACGGGTCGCCCAGCTGCTGGAGCGCTGGCAGGCTGTGCTGGCCCAGGTGGATGTGCGGCAGCGTGAGCTCGAGCAGCTGGGCCGCCAGCTGCGCTACTATCGTGAGAGTGCGGACCCGCTGGGCGCCTGGCTGCAGGATGCTAGGCGGCGGCAGGAGCAGATCCAGGCAGTGCCACTGGCCAACAGCCGGGCTGTGCGCGAGCAGCTGCGGCAGGAGAAGGTGTGCGGATGGGCGTGCGGGCGGGTGTGTGTAGGTGCAGGCAGTGGGCGTGGCCTGCAGCCGCTGACCGCCTTGCCCTCCCAGGCGCTGCTGGAGGAAATCGAGCGCCACGCCGAGAAAGTGGAGGAGTGTCAGCGGTTTGCAAAGCAATATATCAATGCCATCAAGGTAAGGCTGCACAGCTTCCTGTTGCCTCCCCCCCGGGGGCCTTCTTCCCAAGGAAGACTTGCTGGGCAATGGGCCTGGGACTCCGGGTGTACCCCAAGCCGAGGCCGTTCTGGTGCAAGCCTGTGGGCAGGTTGAGGGGCAGCTTAAAGGTGGGGACGAGTTGGCAGCCAACTGCTGTGTCCTCGCAGGACTATGAGCTCCAGCTGGTCACGTACAAGGTGCAGCTTGAGCCAGTCGCCTCCCCAGCCAAGAAGCCTAAGGTGCAGTCCGGGTCCGAGAGCATCATCCAGGAGGTACGGCTGGGCCCGCCCGAGACGAGCTGGGGGAGGCCTTGGGGCATGCGGCTAAGGGCAGAGCTGACTCCGTGCGCCTCCCCCCTCCTGTCCCCTAGTACGTGGATCTGCGCACACGCTACAGCGAGCTGACCACGCTCACGAGCCAGTACATCAAATTCATCAGTGAGACTTTGCGGCGCATGGAGGAGGAGGAGGTATGGGGCGGGGAGGCTGTCCCACCCACCATGCAGACATGCAGACCCCAGGACCCCGTCTGAGACCAGCCACTCGGCGCAGCTCACCCACACTCTGCCTGGCCCGCACGGCTCTCCCTGTGGCAGCTGGTGCCTCCTCTCTCCTCTGCTGGCACGTGCCCCTCCCACCCTGGGTGTCTATGCCTCTCATGTGCATTTTCCCTCTGGGTTCTGCATCGGTCTCTCCCCTCGGCCAATTTCTCTGGAAGAGCTGTGAGGTGTTGGGTCATGAGGGCCGGGGAGCAGTGTCCAAGGTGCCTTGTGGGGCAGGGTGCCCTCCTGTCCTGTTGTTACTCTCACCTCCTGGGTGGCTCCACCATCTGGCTTACCTGCGGCCTCCTCTCTGCTGGGAGCTGCAGGCTTACAAGTCCCTCTTCTGAGTTAGCTCAGGTCTGCACTACTGTCCCATGCTGGCCACCCTGCGCTGACCCACCTGGCGGACTGTGGGAATGGCCTGGGTCAGGGAGAGGGCCCCGTGGCTGGAGCCAGGATGGCAGGTGTTCAGCGGTGCTCAGGCGGGGCTGCGTGGTGGGCACGGCTCACAGGCCCTGTGAACCTCTCGCTTTGCTCTCTCTCTCTCTCTCTGTCCGTCTGTCTCCGTCGCCTGTCTGCGGGAAGAGGGGAGGATGCCTGGGCTTCCTTCCCCAGGCTGGTGAGCACAGTGGGGCCAGGCTGCGCTCGCTGCCCCGAGTGCCCTGGGCGGGTGCACGTTGTCCCCTCGGCCGGGCTGTGACCTCTCCTCCCTCAACCCGCGCACCGTGCTGTCCTGTTGGAGTAACTGTGGTGGTGCCGTGTCATGGGAGTGCCTGGCGCCCGCTCGTGCTTACTGCTCTCTCTGGTTTTCTCCCTCTCTCTGCCGCGGCCGCAGAGGCTGGCTGAGCAGCAGCGGGCAGAGGAGCGGGAGCGGCTGGCCGAGGTGGAGGCTGCGCTGGAGAAGCAGCGGCAGCTGGCCGAGGCGCACGCCCAGGCGAAGGCGCAGGCGGAACAGGAGGCCCAGGACCTGCAGCGGCGCATGCAAGAGGAGGTAGTGCGGCGGGAGGAGGCGGCGGTGGACGCCCAGCAGCAGAAGCGCAGCATCCAGGAGGAGCTGCAGCACCTGAGGCAGAGCTCGGAGGCAGAGATCCAGGCAAAGGCCCGGCAGGCGGAGGCCGCGGAACGCAGCAGGCTGCGCATCGAGGAGGAGATCCGTGTGGTACGCCTGCAGCTGGAAGCAACCGAGCGCCAGCGCGGCGGGGCGGAAGGTGAGCTGCAGGCTCTGCGAGTGCGCGCAGAGGAGGCGGAGGCACAGAAGCGGCAGGCGCAGGAGGAGGCAGAGCGCTTGCGGCGGCAGGTGCAAGAGGAGACCCAGCGCAAGCGGCAGGCAGAGGCCGAGCTGGCCCTGCGTGTGAATGCTGAGGCTGAGGCGGCTCGTGAAAAGCAGCGGGCTGTGCAGGCGCTGGAGGAGCTGCGGCTGCAGGCTGAGGAAGCCGAGCGGCGCCTGCGGCAGGCTGAGGCAGAGCGGGCGCGCCAGGTGCAAGTGGCCCTGGAGACAGCACAGCGCAGCGCGGAAGCCGAGCTGCAGAGCAAGCGCGCCTCCTTCGCGGAGAAGACAGCGCAGCTGGAGCGCACCCTGCAGGAAGAGCACGTGGCGGTGGCGCAGCTGCGAGAGGAAGCCGAGCGGCGGGCGCAGCAGCAGGCAGAGGCAGAGCGTGCCCGTGAGGAGGCCGAGCGGGAGCTGGAACGCTGGCAGCTGAAGGCCAACGAGGCACTGCGGCTGCGGCTGCAAGCAGAGGAGGTGGCGCAGCAAAAGAGCCTGGCGCAGGCCGAGGCGGAGAAGCAGAAGGAGGAGGCAGAGCGGGAGGCACGGCGGCGTGGTAAGGCGGAGGAGCAGGCGGCACGGCAGCGGGAGCTGGCGGAGCAGGAGTTGGAGAAGCAGCGGCAGCTGGCAGAGGGCACTGCACAGCAGCGCCTGGCAGCAGAGCAGGAGCTGATCCGGCTGCGGGCCGAGACCGAGCAGGGGGAGCAGCAGCGACAGCTGCTGGAAGAGGAGCTGGCGCGCCTGCAGCGCGAGGCAGCTGCGGCCATGCAGAAGCGCCAGGAGCTGGAGGCTGAGCTGGCCAAGGTACGTGCCGAGATGGAGGTGCTGCTGGCCAGCAAGGCGCGCGCCGAGGAGGAGTCACGCTCCACTAGTGAGAAGTCCAAGCAGAGGCTGGAAGCTGAGGCTGGCCGTTTCCGTGAACTGGCGGAGGAGGCTGCCCGCCTACGTGCCCTGGCTGAGGAGGCCAAGCGACAGCGGCAGCTGGCAGAGGAGGATGCGGCGCGGCAGCGGGCAGAGGCCGAGCGGGTGCTTGCTGAGAAGCTGGCTGCCATTGGTGAAGCCACCCGGCTCAAGACTGAGGCAGAGATCGCGCTCAAGGAGAAGGAGGCGGAAAACGAGCGCCTGCGGCGGCTGGCGGAAGATGAGGCCTTCCAGCGGCGGCGGCTGGAGGAGCAGGCTGCCCAGCACAAGGCAGACATTGAGGAGCGGCTGGCACAACTGCGCAAGGCATCGGAGAACGAGCTGGAGAGGCAGAAGGGGCTGGTGGAGGACACGCTGCGCCAGCGGCGGCAGGTGGAGGAGGAGATCCGGGCCCTGAAGGCGAGCTTCGAGAAGGCAGCCGCCGGGAAGGCGGAGCTGGAGCTGGAGCTGGGGCGCATCCGCAGGAACGCCGAGGACACGCTGCGCAGCAAGGAGCAGGCAGAGTTGGAGGCTGCGCGGCAGCGGCAGCTGGCCGCCGAGGAGGAGCAGCGGCGCCGGGAGGCCGAGGAGCGGGTGCAGAAGAGTCTGGTGGCCGAGGAGGAGGCGGCGCAGCAACGCAAAACCGCGCTGGAGGAAGTGGACAGGCTCAAGGCCAAGGTGGAGGAGGCGCGGCGTCTGCGTGAGCGGGCCGAGCAGGAGTCGGGACGGCAGCTGCAGCTCGCTCAGGAGGCCGCGCAGAAGCGGCTGCAGGCAGAGGAGAAGGCGCACGCCTTCGCGGTGCAGCAGAAGGAGCAGGAGCTGAAGCAGACGCTCCAGCAGGAGCAGAGCGTGCTGGAGCGGCTGCGGGCCGAGGCGGAGGCAGCGCGGCGGGCGGCAGAGGAGGCAGAGGAGGCACGGGAGCGGGCTGAGCGGGAGGCAGCGCAGTCCAGGCTGCAGGTGGAGGCGGCGGAGCGGCTGAAGCAGTCGGCGGAGGAGCAGGCACAGGCCCGGGCGCAGGCGCAGGCTGCTGCGGAGGCGCTGCGCAAGGAGGCCGAGCAGGAGGCGGCGCGGCGGGCGCAGGCAGAGCAGGCAGCCCTGCGGCAGAAGCAGGCGGCTGACGCGGAGATGGGGAAGCACAAGAAGTTTGCGGAGCAGACACTGCGGCAGAAGGCCCAGGTGGAGCAGGAGCTGACGGCGCTGCGGCTGCAGCTGGAGGAGACCGACCATCAGAAGCACATCCTGGACGAGGAGCTGCAGCGGCTGAAGGCGGAGGTGACGGAGGCCGCCCGGCAGCGCGGCCAGGTGGAGGAGGAGCTCTTCTCCGTGCGCGTGCAGATGGAGGAGCTGGGCAAGTTGAAGGCCCGCATTGAGGCCGAGAACCGTGAACTCATCCTGCGTGACAAGGACAGTACACAGCGCTTCCTGCAGGAGGAGGCCGAGAAGATGAGGCAGGTGGCCGAGGAGGCCGCGCGGCTGAGCGTGGCTGCCCAGGAGGCAGCGCGGCTGCGGCAGCTGGCAGAGGAGGACCTAGCACAGCAGCGGGCCCTGGCTGAGAAGATGCTCAGGGAGAAGATGCAGGCGGTGCAGGAGGCCACGCGGCTCAAGGCCGAGGCAGAACTGCTGCTGCAGCAGAAGGATGTGGCGCAAGAGCAGGCCCGGCGGCTGCAGGAGGACAAGGAGCAGATGGCACAGCAGCTGGCGCAGGAGGCACAGGGCTTCCAGCGCACTCTGGAGGCGGAGCGGCAGCGGCAGCTGGAGTTGGGCGCTGAGGCCGAGCGCCTCAAGCTGCGTGTGGCGGAGATGAGCCGGGCCCAGGCCCGTGCGGAGGAGGATGCCCAGCGCTTCCGGAAGCAGGCTGAGGAGATCGGTGAAAAGCTGCACCGCACAGAGCTCGCCACGCAGGAGAAGGTCACGTTGGTGCACACGCTGGAGATCCAGCGGAACCAGAGTGACCGTGACGCCGAACGCCTGCGGGAGGCCATTGCCGAGCTGGAGTGTGAGAAGGAGAAGCTCAAGCAGGAGGCCAGGTTGCTTCAGCTCAAGTCTGAGGAGGTACCAGCCTCTGCACACTCCAGCGGTGGGGGTGGGGGGATGGGGGGGGGGCGTGCTTCTGGGGTCCCGGGGTCCTGACTGCCCCTCGCCCCGCAGGTGCAGACGGCACAGCAGGAGCAGCTGCTGCAGGAGGCACAGGCCCTCCAGCAGAGCTTCCTGTCCGAGAAGGACCGCCTGCTGCAGCGCGAACGCCTCATCGAGCAGGAGAAGGCCCAGTTGGAGCAGCTCTTCCAGGACGAGGTGGCCAAGGCCCAGAAGCTGCGGGAGGAGCAGCAACGCCAATGGCAGCAGGTGGAGGAAGAGAAGCGACAGCTAGAGGCCAGCATGGAGGAGGCGCGGCGCCGGCAGCATGAGGCTGAGCAGGGTGTGCAGCACAAGCAGGAGGAGCTGCAGCGTCTGGAGCAGCTGCGACAGCAGCAGGAGAGGCTGCTGGCCGAGGAGAACCAGAGGCTGCGTGAGCGGCTACAGTGCCTGGAGGAGGAGCACCGGGCTGCGCTGGCACGTTCAGAGATCACTGCCTTGCAGGCCGCGGCTGCCAAGGCCCTGCCCAACGGCCGGGATGCGCCTGATGGCCCGGCCGCCGAGGCAGAACCTGAGCATGCCTTTGATGGCCTGCGGCAGAAGGTTCCAGCCCAGTGGCTGCAGGAGGTGGGAATCCTGAACGCAGACGAGCTGGAACGGCTGATACAGGGCCGCACCACCGTGGCCGAGCTTGCGCAGCGGGACGATATGCGCTGCTTCCTTCAGGGCCACAGCAGCATCGCTGGGCTGCTGCTGAAGCCTGCCAATGAGAAGCTGAGTGTGTACATGGCTCTGCAGAGGCAGCTGCTGAGCCCAGGGACTGCCCTCATCCTACTGGAGGCGCAGGCGGCCTCAGGCTTCCTCCTGGATCCTGTGCAGAATCGGCGGCTGACTGTCAGTGAGGCGGTGCGAGAGGGCATTGTGGGGCCTGAGCTGCACCACAAGCTGTTGTCGGCCGAGCGCGCCGTCACCGGCTACACCGACCCCTACACCGGCGAGCGGATCTCCCTGTTCCAGGCCATGAAGAAGGACCTCATCGTGCGCGACCACGGCATCCGCCTGCTGGAGGCCCAGATCGCCACGGGCGGCATCATCGACCCCGTGCACAGCCACCGCCTGCCCGTGCACGTGGCCTACGAGCGCGGCTACTTCGACGAGGAGATGAGCCGCGTCCTGGCGGACCCCAGCGACGACACCAAGGGCTTCTTCGACCCCAACACACACGAGAACCTTACCTACCGGCAGCTGCTGGAGCGCTGCGTGGAGGACCCCGAGACAGGCCTGCGCCTCCTGCCACTCACAGATCAGGTTGCCAGGGGCAGTGAGCTTGTCTACACTGACTCGGAGGCCCGGGATGTGTTTGAGAAAGCCACTGTGTCTGCACCATTTGGCAAGTTCCAAGGGAGGACCGTGAGCATCTGGGAGCTCATCAGCTCTGAGTACTTCACAGCAGAACAGAGGCGGGAGCTGCTCCGTCAGTTCCGCACAGGCAAGATCACCGTAGAGAAGGTCATCAAGATCGTCATCACAGTGGTGGAAGAGCACGAGCAGAAGGGCCAGCTCTGCTTTGAGGGCCTGCGTGCCCTGGTACCTGCTGCCGAGCTGCTTGAGAGCGGGGTCATCGACCACAACCTCTACCAACAGCTGCAGCGAGGCGAGCGCTCAGTGCAAGAGGTGGCTGAGGTGGACGCCGTGAGGCAGGCCCTACGGGGTGCCAATGTCATCGCGGGCGTGTGGCTGGAGGAGGCGGGGCAGAGGGTGAGCATCTACGAAGCTCAGAAGAAGGATCTTCTGCAGCCAGAGGTGGCTGTGGCCCTGCTGGAAGCCCAGGCCGGCACCGGGCATATCGTTGACCCATCCACCAGTGCCCGGCTGACTGTGGATGAGGCAGTGCGTGCTGGCCTGGTGGGGCCAGAGCTGCATGAGAAGCTGCTATCAGCTGAGAAAGCTGTGACAGGGTATAAGGACCCCTACTCAGGGCAGAGCGTCTCCCTGTTCCAGGCCCTAAAGAAGGGCCTCATTCCCAGAGAGCAGGGCCTGCGTCTGCTGGATGCCCAGCTGTCCACAGGTGGCATCGTGGACCCCAGGAAGAGCCACCGCGTGCCCCTCGATGTTGCCTATGCCCGGGGCTGTCTGGATGAGGAGACCAACAGAGCCCTGTCGGTGCCCAGCGGTGATGCCAAGGTCTACGAGGACCCCGGCACTCAGGAGCCCGTTACCTATGGCCAGCTGCAGCAGCAGTGCCGGCCAGACCCGCTCACAGGGCTCAGCCTGCTGCCACTCTCAGAGAAGGCCACCCAGGCCCGGCGGGAGCTCTGCTCCGAGCTTCAGGCCCGTGAGACCTTTCAGAAGGCCACCATTGAGGTCCCTGTGGGCAGCTTCAAGGGTCAGACGGTGACAGTGTGGGAGCTCATCAGCTCCGACTACTTCACGGAGGAACAGCGGCGGGAGCTGCTCCGTCAGTTCCGCACGGGCAAGGTCACCGTGGAGAAGGTCATTAAGATCGTCATCACCATTGTTGAGGAGGTGGAGACCATGCGGCAGGAGAGGCTGTCCTTCAGTGGCCTCCGTGCCCCGGTGCCAGCCAGTGAGCTCCTGGCTGCTGGGGTCCTCAGCAAGGCCCAGTTTGAGCAGCTCAAAGATGGAAAGACATCAGTCAAGGATCTGTCAGAGGTGGACACCGTGCGGACGCTCCTCCGAGGCAGTGACTGCCTTGCTGGCATCTACCTGGAGGACTCCAAGGAGAAGGTGACCATCTATGAGGCCATGAGGAGGGGCCTGCTGAGGCCCAGCACGGCCACTCTTCTGCTTGAGGCCCAGGCAGCCACCGGCTTTCTGGTTGACCCTGTGCGCAACCAGCGCCTATACGTCAACGAGGCTGTGAAGAACGGAGTTGTGGGCCCTGAGCTGCATGAGAAGCTGCTGTCAGCCGAGAAGGCCGTGACGGGGTACAAGGACCCCTACTCGGGCACCACTATCTCCCTGTTCCAGGCCATGAAGAAGGGCCTCATCGTGCGGGACCACGGCATCCGCCTGCTGGAGGCCCAGATCGCCACGGGCGGCATCATCGACCCCGTGCACAGCCACCGCCTGCCCGTGCACGTGGCCTACGAGCGCGGCTACTTCGACGAGGAGATGAGCCGCGTCCTGGCGGACCCCGGCGACGACACCAGGGGCTTCTTTGACCCCAACACGCACGAGAACCTCACCTACCGGCAGCTGCTGGAGCGCTGCGTGGAGGACCCCGAGACGGGCCTGCGCCTCCTGCCGCTAAAAGGGGCGGAGCAGACGGAGGTGGTGGAGACCACGCAGGTGTACACTGAGGAGGAGACCCGGAGGGCATTTGAGGAGACGCAGATTGACATCCCCGGTGGCGGCAGCCTTGGCGGCTCCACCATGTCCCTGTGGGAGGTGATGCAGTCAGACTTGATTCCTGAGGAGCAGCGGGCCCGGCTGATGGCCGACTTCCAGGCAGGCCGGGTCACCAAGGAGCGTATGATCATCATCATCATTGAGATAATCGAGAAGACTGAGGTCATCCGACAGCAGAACCTCGCTTCCTATGATTACGTCCGCCGCCGCCTCACGGCCGAGGACCTGTACGAGGCCCGGGTCATCTCCCGGGAGGCCTACAGCCTGCTCCGGGAGGGCACCAGGACCCTCCGTGAGGTGCTTGAGGAGGAATCTGCCTGGCGCTACCTCTACGGCACAGGCTGTGTAGCTGGCATCTACCTGCCCAGCTCTAGGCAGACGCTGACCATCTACCAGGCCCTCAAGAAGGGGCTGCTGAGCGCTGAGGTGGCCCGCTTCCTGCTGGAGGCGCAGGCGGCCACCGGCTTCCTGTTGGACCCGGTGAAGGGCGAGCGGCTGACTGTGGACGAGGCTGTACGGAAGGGCCTGGTGGGCCCTGAGCTGCACGACCGACTGCTCTCAGCTGAGCGGGCCGTGACCGGCTACCGTGACCCCTACACGGAGCAGACGATCTCGCTCTTCCAGGCCATGAAGAAGGAGCTGATCCCTGCCGAGGAGGCCCTGCGGCTGCTGGATGCCCAGCTGGCCACGGGCGGCATTGTGGACCCACGCTTGGGCTTCCACCTCCCATTGGAGGTGGCCTACCAGCGTGGCTACCTCAACAAGGACACGCATGACCAGCTGTCGGAGCCCAGCGAGGTGCGCAGTTACCTGGACCCCTCAACGGATGAGCGCCTCAGCTATACGCAGCTGCTCCGGCGGTGCCGCCGCCATGAGGACAGTGGCCAGCTGCTCCTGCCGCTCTCCGATGCCCGCAAGCTGACTTTCCGCGGCCTGCGCAAACAGATCACCGTGGAGGAGCTGGTGCGCTCTCAGGTCATGGATGAGGCCACGGCGCTGCAGCTGCAGGAGGGCCTGACCTCTGTCGAAGAGGTCTCCAGGAGCCTGCAGAAGTTCCTCGAGGGCACCAGCTGCATCGCGGGTGTCTTTGTTGACGCCACCAAGGAGCGGCTGTCAGTGTACCAGGCCATGAAGAAAGGCATCATCCGCCCTGGCACAGCTTTTGAGCTCCTGGAGGCACAGGCGGCCACTGGCTATGTCATTGACCCCATCAAGGGACTCAAGCTGACCGTCGAGGAGGCTGTGCGCATGGGCATTGTGGGCCCCGAGTTCAAGGACAAGCTGCTGTCAGCCGAGCGCGCCGTCACTGGCTACAAGGACCCCTACTCTGGGAAGCTCATCTCCCTGTTCCAGGCCATGAAGAAGGGCCTGATTCTGAAGGACCACGGCATCCGCCTGCTGGAGGCCCAGATCGCCACAGGCGGCATCATCGACCCCGAGGAAAGCCACCGCCTGCCTGTGGACGTGGCCTACCAACGTGGCCTCTTCGATGAGGAGATGAATGATATCCTTACAGACCCAAGCGATGACACCAAGGGCTTCTTTGACCCCAACACAGAGGAGAACCTCACCTACCTGCAGCTGATGGAGCGCTGCGTGGAGGACCCCCAGACGGGCCTGCGCCTCCTGCCACTCCGGGAGAAGAAGCGGGAGCGGAAGACATCCTCCAAGTCCTCCGTGCGCAAGCGCCGTGTGGTGATCGTGGACCCCGAGACGGGCAAGGAGATGTCGGTGTACGAGGCTTACCGCAAGGGGCTCATCGACCACCAGACGTACCTGGAACTGTCAGAGCAGGAGTGCGAGTGGGAAGAGATCACCATCTCCTCCTCGGATGGCGTGGTCAAGTCCATGATCATTGACCGCCGCTCGGGCCGCCAGTACGACATCGACGAGGCCATCGCCAAGAACCTCATTGACCGCTCCGCCCTGGACCAGTACCGCGCCGGCACGCTCTCCATCACTGAGTTTGCAGACATGCTGTCTGGCAATGCCGGTGGCTTCCGCTCCCGCTCTTCCTCAGTGGGGTCCTCCTCTTCCTACCCCATTAGCCCTGCTGTCTCCAGGACCCAGCTGGCCTCGTGGTCCGATCCCACTGAGGAGACGGGCCCCGTGGCTGGCATCCTGGACACGGAGACGCTGGAGAAGGTGTCCATCACAGAGGCCATGCGCCGCAGCCTGGTGGACAACATCACTGGGCAGCGGCTGTTGGAGGCGCAGGCCTGCACCGGGGGCATCATCGACCCTGCCACCGGCGAGCGCTTCCCTGTCACTGACGCTGTCAACAAGGGCCTGGTGGACAAGATCATGGTGGACCGCATCAACCTGGCCCAGAAGGCCTTCTGTGGCTTTGAGGACCCGCGCACCAAGACCAAGATGTCAGCTGCCCAGGCCCTGAAGAAGGGCTGGCTCTACTACGAGGCCGGCCAGCGCTTCCTGGAGGTGCAGTACCTGACAGGCGGCCTGATTGAGCCTGACACGCCTGGCCGCGTGCCCCTGGACGAGGCCCTGCAGCGTGGCGTGGTGGATGCCCGCACCGCCCAGAAGCTGCGTGATGTCAGTGCATACGCCAAGTATCTCACTTGCCCCAAGACCAAGCTCAAGATCTCCTATAAGGATGCGCTGGACCGCAGCATGGTGGAGGAGGGCACGGGGCTGCGGCTGCTCGAGGCCGCTGCCCAGTCGAGCAAGGGCTACTACAGCCCCTACGGCGTCAGCGGCTCCGGCTCTGCAGCCGGCTCGCGCTCCGGCTCGCGCACTGGCTCCCGGGCTGGCTCTCGCCGCGGCAGCTTTGACGCCACCAGCTCTGGCTTCTCCGCGACCTTCTCTTCCTCCTCCTACTCCTCCTCAGGATACGGCCGCCGCTACGCCTCGGGGCCTGCATCCTCCCTGGGGAGCCCCGAGCCTGCGGCGGCCTGACCCACACCCACACCCTGCCCTCCCGCTCTGCACGTGGCCAGGCTCCCTGCCCAGGCGCTGGGGTCTCTCCTCACTGGTCAAAGATGTCTTCCTCCCAAGTGGTGCCTAAAGTTTAACCAAAAAGACCAGATTAATAAGTTAACATTTGTCTGCTGTCCAGACAGCCTGTGTGCTGAGGTTGGGGCTGGTCCAGCCCCACTGGCCACCTCGTTCCAAGTCTCCCTGTCCCTCTGCCTGCCACTCACCACAGCCAGGTGCCTTGGAGGGTCCAGAGCTGGGCTCCAATCCCACACTCTCATCTCCCCCCGCCCCCAGGGAGGGATTTATCTGGGCAAGGGTCTCCCAGCCCTGTAGGCCAGGCCCCCTGACACTCAACCATCAATCCTAGCTGCCCAGGGTGGCTGGGGGCAGACCATTATTAGCAGGGCCCTCAGGGCTGGCATTTCCTTCTGTTTCTAGGACTGACCTGCTTGGTCAGTGGGCCTTGCTGGGGAGGAGGGTGTCCTGGGTCAGCCATCTCTTCCAGGCTGACATGGGCATAGAAGCCCCTTCCCCATGGAAAAATCAGGGTCCAGGTACAGAACCAGCTGGCCTGGGCCGGGCGCCAGCCTGTACCCGCCCCTAGCCCGCTCTGGCCAAGCTGCAGGCTCTGTTCCTGCCTCCCAGCTCCTGACACCCTCCCCAGGCCCCAGCTTCTGGCTTCATCCTTTCAGCCTCAGCTCCCTAGTAAGTGCCTTCTGTACCCTGCCTCGTGCCCCAGGCCCCGAGGACCCTGACCCGGGCCGGGAGACAGACCCTCCTGGGGAAAGGCTTGCCGGCCAGTTGGGGTGTGCCAGAGACCTTCTCTTCCTCCTCCTACTCCTCCTCAGGATACGGCCGCCGCTACGCCTCGGGGCCTGCATCCTCCCTGGGGAGCCCCGAGCCTGCGGCGGCCTGACCCACGCCCACACCCTGCCCTCCCGCTCTGCACGTGGCCAGGCTCCCTGCCCAGGCGCTGGGGTCTCTCCTCACTGGTCAAAGATGTCTTCCTCCCAAGTGGTGCCTAAAGTTTAACCAAAAAGACCAGATTAATAAGTTAACATTTGTCTGCTGTCCAGACAGCCTGTGTGCTGAGGTTGGGGCTGGTCCAGCCCCACTGGCCACCTCGTTCCAAGTCTCCCTGTCCCTCTGCCTGCCACTCACCACAGCCAGGTGCCTTGGAGGGTCCAGAGCTGGGCTCCAATCCCACACTCTCATCTCCCCCCGCCCCCAGGGAGGGATTTATCTGGGCAAGGGTCTCCCAGCCCTGTAGGCCAGGCCCCCTGACACTCAACCATCAATCCTAGCTGCCCAGGGTGGCTGGGGGCAGACCATTATTAGCAGGGCCCTCAGGGCTGGCATTTCCTTCTGTTTCTAGGACTGACCTGCTTGGTCAGTGGGCCTTGCTGGGGAGGAGGGTGTCCTGGGTCAGCCATCTCTTCCAGGCTGACATGGGCATAGAAGCCCCTTCCCCATGGAAAAATCAGGGTCCAGGTACAGAACCAGCTGGCCTGGGCCGGGCGCCAGCCTGGACCCGCCCCTAGCCCGCTCTGGCCAAGCTGCAGGCTCTGTTCCTGCCTCCCAGCTCCTGACACCCTCCCCAGGCCCCAGCTTCTGGCTTCATCCTTTCAGCCTCAGCTCCCTAGTAAGTGCCTTCTGTACCCTGCCTCGTGCCCCAGGCCCCGAGGACCCTGACCCGGGCCGGGAGACAGACCCTCCTGGGGAAAGGCTTGCCGGCCAGTTGGGGTGTGCCAGCCCCAGGCCAGGTTGGGCATGGCTGGGCCTTCTGCAGGGCTCCTCCCAAGGCTCAGAGGCCCCTGGGGCCTTTGGAACCCCCACCGGGGTGCTACCTGCCTGTCCTTCCCCTCCCCTGCCCAAACCCCACCCCAGAGCCTCAGTTCCTCTGCTTGGTCCCAGGGGCGCTGGCTGGGCTTCTGCTAAGCCGGGCAGCCCAGCTTGGTGCCACCCCCTCCAGCCCCTCCAGCCCCTGGCCTTGGTGGTTTCTGCCCTGCCTCTATCCTCTATGCTTTGCATGTTCCACTGACCCAGGCAGGTGGTGGGTGGGGGCGCCAGGCTCTGGCTTCCTCCATGCGGGCAGGACACTAACCTGACCATGGGTGGGCCTACAGTGCTCACCCCAATAAAAGTGATTCCAACCTTCCTTCTTGTCCTGCTGTACTTGTCTGTCCTGGGGGTGGGGACAGGGTTGTGTGTTGGATGCTGCAGCCCCAGGTTCGGGGCTTGGCCTGCGTCCTGGATAAAGGCAGAGGACTCAGGCTTTGGTGAGGATGCTGGCCTGAGGTCACATGTCTCTGGCAGAAACCCAGACCGAGCAGCCCTGGGCAGAGGGTAAGGTGGAGGGCAGGGTAGAGGCCAAGTGGGGAGTGGCCACTGGGCTGCTCCTGGCCATTCCCTAGCTCCTGGTGCTGGTCCAGGTAATCTCTCAGCATGCCCAGCCCGTCAGGTCAGGTCTGTGATGCACAGTTACCTCTGAGGTGGGGGTCTTACACGCCCACGTCATCAGTTGGTCCGCCGGCTGTGCTGCCGGGAGCAGTGTGCCGCCTGGGTAAGTTGGTTCCTGCCAGCCCTGCAGAGGAGGACACAGCCATGAGCCTGAACAGCCGGATGCCTTTGCTGCGGTTTAGCCCCTCCCCACGGGTCCCCTGGCTCCTCGTATTTTGGGTCATTCCGGCATCCTTTATAGGGAAACTTACAAGAGAAGGGCAAGTAGGTCATCAATATTTATCGTGTCAGAAATCAAAAGTTGAGAAAAAATTAACAAGTCCATTGCCTATCAGCATGACATTTAAAGTGAAATACAACAGTATCTTTCTAAATGAGTGCCAAGGCAAGTCTGCATACCTGACCTGACAAAGACAGCTGGAGTCCTGCATCTTTTGCATTCAGTCTGTGCGTACCATTCATTCTGTAGACTCTGGAAAGCCCTACAGTCATTAATGAATGAAAGTGAAAAGGCAGGTAGTGTGTAAATATTCTTGGAAATTCTTTGGCCTTACGCATTCCCATGAAAGGGTCTTGGGGACTCCCAGGGATCACAAGATCACCATTTGAGAACTGATCTAACCAATCATTTAATGTAGAAAACAACATACATAAAGTAATAGAATTAACTATGAACTAAAAAGTTCATTTCTGGGTAAAAATATACCCAAAAGAATTGATGGCAAGGACTTGAACAGGCAGGTACACTCAGTTCATAGCCGTGTTACTCACTGTAGCTAAAACATGGAAGCAGCCCACATGTCCATTGTGTATATACAATGGAATAGTACTCAGCCTTGAAAAGGAACTTCTACAACATGGAATGGACCTTGAGGATGTCATGCTAAATGAAAAAAATGTCACAGAAGGATGAATACATCATAGTTCCCCTTATCTGAGTTGCCAAGAGTAGTCAAATTCATAGAGGCAGTGGGTGCCAAGGCCTAGGGGGAAGGAGAAATGGGGAGTTTTTACTGGGTACAAAGAGTTTGCAAGGTGCAAAGAGTTCTGGATATGCATGGTGGTGATGGCTGCACAACAGTGTGAATGTACTTAATGTCACAGGACTATATGCTTAGAAATGGTTAAAATGGTCAGTTTTATGTTATGTGTATTTTAACACAATTAGGAAAAACAATAATACTGTTCAATTTGGGGGTCACAAAGGATGGAGGTGGACTTCCATCACTGCCCAAGATGAAGCAACAGAGATCCAAGTTAACCTCCCAATTAAGAAAACAAAAACACCAGGTGAAAAATATGAAACAAAGGTTCTCAAGACACTGGGCATCAGGGATGAAGGGACATGAGCCCGAGGGGTGGGAGCCTGGCAAGGTAAGTCCCCCGACTGCTCTGAGAGGAGGGCCACCTGTGTGGAGCCGGGTTGGCTCCAAGTTGAGACAGATGAAAACAATCAGGATTTTCAAGTCAGGAATCTGGAAAGAAATGCACACAAAAAGAAAGAACGCAGAGTTAAGTATTCATCTGAAGATGACTTCACGTATGTGAACGATCCACCTGAGGCCGGGAGTGACCTCTCAAAAGAACTAGAAGGAATAATCCCGAGATCACGCAGGGACAATAATGCTGCCTATCCCTGCCGGCCCGAATGGAAAACCTTGTAATTCACAAAACCTTTGGTAGATTACTAAATAGTTTTGCTTTAGTCATGGAGAAAACACTCCAGCCCAGCAAAGGCATTAAGAGCAAAACTTGAAAAGATAACAGATTGTCATGTAACTTAAGTACATCCCCAAAATTAAAAAATATTTATAGGAGGACAAAAATATCTGGCAAACAAAGTAAAATACACAATGCCTGGCATATAATAAAAAACTGCCAGACTTGTAAAGTAGCAAAAAAACACAATTCTTAGCATGGAGAAAAATCAGTCAAAGTGACACAGGTGATAAAATTAGTACACAAGGACATTAAAAAGAATGATAAGTATATTCTGTATTTCTGAGAAGCTTGAGGAAATAATGGGTATGTTAAGTTAGAGATATGGAAGATGTTGGAACCAAATTGAACTAGGAGTGAAAATTATAACATGACAAAAACACTGCATGTATATTACACATTGCAGAAGAAAAGTAAAGCTGAAGACATGGCAAAGGAAACTTCTCAAAAAAAAACTGGGAAAAAATCAGAAGAGCATTAGTGTTCTGTGGGGGTGACTTTAAGGTCCTAATGTACATGTGATTGGAATCCCTGAAAGGTCAGGGACATTAAAAATATTTGAAGAGATAATGATTGAAAATGTCCCCAATTTGAAACAAAGTTAATGGTGACAGCAGATTTCTTACCAAATTTCTCCTTAACAGAAGACTTGCTAGATGGTTAAAAGAAAGAAAAAAAAAAAAACAACTCAGCCTCGAATTCTTCACTGAGTGAAAATATATTTTAGAAATGAAGGTGAAAAAAAAATTGGACATAAAAAAGCTGAATCACCAGAAGACCTATACAGTAAGAAATGACAAAGGAGTCCTTTAAACAAAAGGAAAATGATACCAGATAGAAATCAGGATTTACACTAAGGAATAAAGGGCACTGGAAGTAGTAACTATGTGAGTAAATGTTAAGACTCCCACCCTCCCTGTTAAAGTTTCTTCAAATGACAATAAGCTGTTTAAAGCAAAAATAATGATGCATTGTAGGGGTTAGAACACATCGAAGTAAAATGCACAACAATAGCACAAAGGCCAGGCAGGGGGGCATGGGAGTTGGTATTGGAAGGCCCTTGCACATCAAGGGGCCGATGCCGCCTCAAGGCGGCCAGTGACAAAGGTCCAAAACAGTGAAGCAGCCACCAAGATAACAGCCAAGAGTTACAGACAATGAGCCAAAAAGGAGATAAAATGAAATCCTGAAATAACCCAAACGAAGCCAGGAAAAAGAAAAAGGAGACAAATGAACAGATGGGACCAAAAGAAGCAAGAAAATATTAGATTCAATCCCAAATATATCAATAATCACATTAAATGTGAACCGCTGAACACTCCTATAAAAGGATTGTATAAAAAAGCAAGATTCAACTGTCTTCTGACTACAAGAAACATAGTTTAAGTATAAAGACATAAGGTTAAAAGTAAACGGGTGAGAAAAGATGTAAGAGGATGACACTAATCATAAGAAATCTGGAAGTACTATATTAATAGTTGATGAAGTAGATTTTAAAGTAAAAGGTATTACCAGGGACAAAGAGGGTTATTTCATAATTGTGAAGCCATCAATTCATCAAGAGAATGTAATCCAATTTTTATGCACCTAGTAACAATGTCAAAATAGA